TCTCTGTCAAAGCCTCCCACCGTCTGCAGAGTTGAGCAACCCACCAGCTGAGCTGCTGAGCCCCAAATCAGGAAAAAGCAAAGCTGGTCAGTGAGGCTTGACGCCTGCCCTAGGGAATGGTGGTTGGTGACCAACGAAGGAAGAGATCCCATGAACAAGAGCTATGAGTCACTGCTCCAACACCCTGCCAGGCAAAGGGGGCTTAGGGCTTGGGTTCCGCTGGCATAAGCATGTAAGAAAGGTAGTTTTTATTCCCATCTTGCAAGCAGGAGACCGCGGTTATTGAGAAAATTTGGTGAGTTGGGACATTCCGCCCATGTGTATACCAGTTCCAGGAAGTGGCCCACCTTACCTTTTATCTCAGCCCTGCCAAACTCATGACTGAACATTTACCTGCCCCAAGAAATCTCCCCTTCCTCCCCACATCCTCCCTTTTCAATACGGTGAATTACGGAGCATAATAACAAAGGTGTGATTAAGGGGATAGCGTTTCAGGTTAGGTTCAAGACTGGGCTTTACCATTAAGTAAGTGGCCTGAGGCATGGCACTTACATGCTGTGACTCAGTTTCGTCAGCTGCAAAATGGGCATGATGGTGGAGCAAAATGATGACAGTGAGTGACGACACGCGCTGCATTGTAACACATGTCAGGTAATATCACGATTATCGACTCAACACTCCGGCCTCTGCCTTGTAAGAAATAAGGAGAGGTGCCCTGGCTCGGGCGGAGGAGTGCCTGGTGCACATACAAACCTTTTACTTATTCTGATTTCTAATTCGGAGGCACCTCCTTTTGAGCGGAGGCTCCAGGTCCTCGGGCCCGGCGCCGAGCAGGGGCGAGGAGATGATGCAGGGCGCCATGGCCGTCTTCTCCGCGGGTTTTGGCACAGGCTGGATCACGCAGCCCGTCTTGGGCAGCATCCGCAGAGCGTACGCGTGGTCCTCGTCCGCGGGGTTGTTCAGATTCGGGTCTGACTTGTCGCCCCCCGCCAGGGCCTCCTCTCCGATCAGCTTTTTGGCCGCCTCCCCGTCCAGGTGGCAGTTGGAAGCACAGTTGTTCTCCTTGACGGACTCCAGCTCGCTCACCGCGGGCTCCTCGGGGGACAGCAGCTTCTTGGGGGGCGCGGGCAGCGGGGGCGGGGGCTGC